CACTCTCTACCTTGCAGGCAGCAGTTGAGGGATTAAGAAAGCACTTACCACCCTAGCCTCTGTCGCCCTTGTATAATGTCATTGAATTATGTACTGTGTCCTTGTTATTGTATTTTCTTTTGGGTTGTCATTGAATTATGTACTGTGTCCTTGTTATTGTATTTTCTTTTGGGTTGTCATTGAATTATGTACTGTGTCCTTGTTATTGTATTTTCTTTTGGGTTGGCAATGTGCAATCGTGGAACGTTTATTCTCAAAATAATGAATGATGAATGAAAGATGTAGCTGCTTGTGGAATTTGAGGTCTTGTAAGATTTAATATTATATTCTCTTTCACCCTCTGCCATGAAGCACCTTCTTAGAGAATCAACTGCATATGTACCTGTCGATGAGCATAAACTCACTGTTACCTCTCCTTTTTTTTTTTTATAAAATCTATTTTTGTAATGCAAATATCTTAATAATAGGAGATAGTGTCCAAAAAAAAAAAGATGGGAGATGGTATTTTATAATGAGCACTGTTGGTAGTAGGCATGACGCCTGCCCTCTCGCTTCCGCGACCGATTCTATTCTCACCCTTGCGTTCGGTCAAAGGCCAAAAAAGAAAAAAAACTCAGTCTGGGGCTTATGCGCAAAATTTGTCGTAAGCTATTCTATAATACTGGAATAAAAACAAACTATGTCGAAGTTTTTTTTTTGGGGGGGGGGGGAGGTAAGCACTGTTATTTATTATTGATTACGTGATTGCTATTTTTCATAGTTAATTTTTGTCTTCAACATTTAGGGGGGTGTTTGGGTTTTTTGCCAAACACTCTATTTTTTTGAAAACCATGGTTTTGATCTTGAAACTTTGGTTTCAGCTCAAGCAGCACGCGACCTGCTTTTTATTCTCTATATATTGGATTGAGTGGCCCCCACACGTTGGACTTTTCTTATTTCATCTTTTCTTTTTGTCGGCAACGGCTCCTTTGCATTCAAACTTCTCATGCATTAATTAAATTGAATTAAATAATTATATTTTTTGGTTGACAAAATAAATTATTTTACGAAAAACATATTTAATTATTTTATTAATATATATACGTTTTAATTTTAATTATTATAATATATATTATTTATTAATATATACATGTTTAATATTTTATTAAATTATTTTGCAAAATAACAATTTATTTATTTTATTAATATATATACGTATTAATTTTTTTATTAATATTTTTTATTTACTTCAAATAAACATATATTATGAAATATATCTTATATGTAATTATCATTTAAACTTATGTCCTTTTTAGTAATTTTTACATATAAAAAAGCACTTTTGACAACAACTATCTAAACACTCTCACTTTATCAGAATTATTTTTTAAAAAAGCTATTCTTTCAAATCTATTCTCTCCAGAATCTATTTTCAGAACTATTCTCCAAACCATGGTTTGAGGTTATCCAAACACCCCCTTAAATGATTTTGCGGTAAAAACAGCTTAATGTTGCCTTGAACAAAGTCAAGATCCTTGCGAAGAAGAGAAATCACATAGAAAGAATTATTTTCTATTTGGCTCTGATAATTATAATCGTCTGAATTTGTAATACTAAATAGTAAATACCAAATAATTTTATCAGAAAGAAAACGAGTAATTTTACCCCTTTCTTTGTTTGAACTAGCTTACTTTTTTTTCTGTTTGGTAATATAATTTTACTTGTTTTTGGCCTTATTAAGTATGAATGAAATGTCCGTTTTCATTGTAAAAATAATAAGTAAAAGAATTTTTTTTTGGGGGGAAAACTACATATCAATGAGATTAAGAAATAGACAACAAAAAGTGAGATAAAAAAATAAAATGTTTTGTATAAATTTAATTGTTCATGAATTTTATAAATTGAAAAATATTTACATTCAAGTTTAGCAAATCAAAAAATATATTTTACACACGACCACACAATTTTTTTACTTGATGTATGAATATTTTTCCAACCTTTTACGGCTAAATGATTTATTTTTGGATACGTGCTTGTCTTATCTTTTTCATATTTTATTTTATTTGTTTTTTAACAAACAAGAACAACGTGCGAAACAAGTTCACCCACAAAAGCGGCATACCATGACACAAATTTCCCAGAGAGGCCATCAGAGTTCCAACTCGGTAGAGAAGAATGAACCCTTACTGGGGATATGTTGAGGCATATATTAATTGAAGGTTCGTTATTCCTTTGTAGCTCTGGGAATCAATTCCCCTGCACAGCAGACTCCTTGGAATGTCCCAAAATATTCATCATCAATGTCCCAGTTGCACAAGTTTCCCTTCCAAAAAACTTCGTTGAAATTTGGAAGCAACCTGCTTTCCAGGCAAACACGTCAGAAAACAGAAGGAATGAAAAGGTAATCTTCTCTTTTTTATTCTCATATTCCTCTCTAAGCAGGAGTTTCTTCAGATTGAACATTACATCCTCAAGAAGCTAAGGACCCTCTTCGTCTTCATGCAAAACCCAACCCAGTTACTTGAACTAAAAGACAATCAATCTCAACAAGTCTGGGCTTTCTTCCTCCTCCATATTTCTGTTTCAAACGACTTCCTATTTATATTGCTAATCACCCAACAAATCAAATCCAAGTTAAAGGAAACAGGCAGAGAATAATGGAGGTCTCTTATTCAGCCAACGAGAACGCACCGGAAATTGTATTCTTTGATTTGGAAACTACAGTACCCAACAAAAGTGGACAACGTTTCTGGGTTCTGGAATTTGGTGCAATTGTGGTCAGCCCCCAAAAACTAGTCGAGCTCGAAAGTTATACGACTCTCATCAGACCCAAAGATCTATCGGTGGTCTCAGTGAAACCCAGAAGATGCGATGGCATAACACGCGCGGCCGTGAAAAATGCACCATATTTTGAGGAAGTTGCCGAAAAGATATTCAGTATTTTAAATGGAAGGGTGTGGGCAGGTCATAACATCCGAAGATTCGATTGTGTTCGTATCAAAGAGGCATTTGAAGATATCGGCAGGCCAGCACCAGTACCAGTTGGAATCATTGATTCGCTTGGGATCCTAACTGAGAAGTTTGGGAGAAGAGCTGGCAATATGAAGGTACGTAAGAAATAATGAGTTTCTATAAAGCCAAAGTTCTAGTACTTGATTCTCTACAACAATCTTAAATTTTGTTTACGGGTGTAGATGGCAACATTGGCTTCTTATTTTGGTCTCGGAGAGCAAAAGCACAGGTATGGATTTCTATGGTTATACAGCTTCTGTATCGCATTGGTTTAAGTGAAAATTATTGTATTGTTCTGGTCCTTATGTCCAATTCGGAGCAGAAGCCTGGATGACGTTCGCATGAACTTGGAGGTGCTCAAGCATTGTGCAACTGTATTGCTTCTGGTAATGAAATGCAGCTATTATCTGCACATTCTGCTAGTTTTAATTACCTTATAGCAGCGAATATTCTCGTGCCCTATGTAATGGCGACCGCGTGATGTCAGGAATCAAGTCTCCCAAGTACATCGCAGAGCAGATGGTATGGGACTTCTCATATTATGACGCGAAGCAGAACGAATGGAAAATCACCATGCAAAGAAGAAACAAGCAGGAAATCTCCCCCAACTTCTCTGGGATATCAGAGGGCAGTCCCCTATGCAAGGGGAAGTTTGCAAAAGGTTTTATTTATACAACTCTTTCTTTATGCACATATATACTAGCATTTTCGTCTCGATCGGGTGATAGAAGCTAGCCGTTAACAATGACGATGAAACTCAATGAAATGCAGATGACGGAAAGAGTGAAGGGCCTTCTGTGTAAAGCTCAAGGGAACCAGCCTCTGAACCATATTCTCAAGCATTCTCATTCACTGCTAAGGTGAGGCAGAATAATCAAGACGGAAACGCCGCGCCGCCGCTTGCGAGGAAAATCTTATTCTTTTCTACTTTAATTTGACAAGGTCCTTGTGGGGAAGAGAAGGCCACAAGTTTTGTTCAGTTTTTGTAGAAGGACAGGATGAGCATGCGGAAGAGGGGTTGTTCTATTCTTGATTCGTCCAAGGAACAAAGAACCACTGAAGTAACAATTTGAGACGCATTTGTGAATGGTCAAGACTCTCCAGAACGCTGAAAAGGAGACACAACCCGCAACTCGAATTTGTCTCTTTATATTGCATTCTACTTCTTCATTCAGATTCTTTAATTGTATGTCTTCATTTGTAAATAAATTCAATTTGTCCAACAATTAGACTCCCTTTGTGTTTTTACTCTATCGCAGAAACGAGTCAACGTGAATTCTCTGTTCCCCTCGTTCCCAAACATGATTGATTTATGACAATTTAAGTCTCACAAAAGAGCTGGGGTGAAGCCCGATATTTAGATCCATAATATAATCAAATATATCTTTTAATTACCATAGTTTTATCCCAATTTCATTCTATTCTAAATCCTAATTCCGTTTCAATTATATCTTGTAAGAGTATTTTAAGGCAACAGCTAGAGAAAGGGAAGATAAAGAGGAACACCCGAGTGCATAAATTTCATACGCATCTCAAGCAGTTCTGCTAGTAGGCACACATGACACGCCACTATAGTGCAAATACAAAGCCCCCATATAACTTATTCTCCACAACATACACACAAGATTATTAACTAATTAAGGGACTACTGCAAGTCCAAGTCGTCAAGGAGCTAAGCTCTTGTTCCGTTTGCCCCATACATATATCCTTAGACTGGATCCAGTTTACACCCGACAGCTTCCGCAACAGTCAAGAAGACCCTTCCACCGATTGTTCTGACGAAGTTAGCAGCCTTCAGCTTGTGAATCACTTGCCACCTGGGGTTGGCGATTGCTAACTGAGAGACTCCCTCAGAGTAGGTCAATAGATAGATTTGTTAGGAAGACGAAAAATTGCGACATATCACACCAAGTCATGTCCATCTTAACAATAATTACTGGGCCTTGCTCACCTGTTTCCCATGTGAAACCAAACTCTTGTGTAGTTCCTCTAGAGAAGCAATTCCTGACGTGTCGATGTTCATTAAATCTGCCATTATAGAACAATAATGAACCCATTATTTTAATGTTATCAAGAATAAGAAGCCATCCTTAGTGATGACAGGTCTTGCACTTTCCACTTATCAATGAAAAGGTCTTTTTTCAGCTCACAAGAAGGAAGTGAAACTTACTGGAGGCGTCGATGATTACGAGCTGAATTGTCCTTTTGGTGTCTCCCTCGTTCTCATTGGCTTCTTCTTCTTCTTCTTCGTCTGTGATCAGTTTCATGATCCTTTCAAACAAAATTGAGGAGCAGATCAATCAGGTACTGCTCATAATTAGATGTTCTTATAATATAATTTCATGACATGACCGTGGAAGCACTTGTTGCATGTGAAGATACCTTTCTGTAACGAAGTTGGCATTAGCAAAGCAAAGCAAGGCAGACTTGACACGTATTATTAAGACTCCAGCAGTCTTAACAGCCATAGGATACTGATGGACATCGCAGAACCAGTCTGTTTCAGGGAGTCTTCCGAGAGTTTCTGTGCCGGGTCGAATTGAGATCATTATTATATTTGTAAAGGATATCGCCACCTGTAAATTAAACTCAAATCAGCCCAATTTACTGTTTCATCCTTTTTTCAATCTTATACTTTCACTTGTTAAATAATTCACACCCCTGAACCAAGGCAGTTAATCAAATTTATCCAACGTAGTCAGTAGACAGGTTTTATTTAATTTTCTTTGAAGAAGATGAAAAGAATGAAAGCATGACATTTCTCACTCCATAACATTGGCATTACTGTTAGATAATTGGCTTTTTGTGATTCTAGCGTCCCGAGATTTGAGGAAATTCGAAGTGCAACCACTTTGCACTCTGCATCACACACACTAGCTGGTCAAAAATAAAATATTAGCTAGTGGAAGTCAGTCCAATAAAGGTGTGTGGTCTGGTCCATACCCTTTGCTACTTGCCAACTGCCATGCAAAGGACAAAAAAAAGGCCACTAAAGCGGAAACTAATTATTTATGATGGAGCACTTTTAAAAGGTGATGAGCTGGATGACGCCATCCTCCATAAGATGTAGTGACAAAGACTTCATATGCCATTGGTCGCTGTTGCAATATTAAATTGTTCTTAAGATTAATCGACCTAAATTAAACACCAACTCCTCTGTAGTTATTATTAAATATTTTATAACCCATTGTATTATTAGGCTCGATTATTTTGGGACCACAAAATAATAAAAAGTCAGGATTGCAGTCTGCAGAAGCGGTAATGAAGAATTATACTTACGGCCACCAGGAGGCCAATCTCGACGGAAGAGAAGAGGACCCCAAAGAAGGCTCCGGCGCAAGCAAGAAAATCAAGCTTATCAAGCTTCCATATTCTGTAAGCCTCATTGAAGTCTACGAGTCCTGGGAGAGCAGAAATGATGATTGAGGCAAGAATCGCCGTTGGAGTGAAATATAAGAGCTTCGTGAAGCATAGCAACGAGATAACCACCGTAATAGCCATCACGATGTTTGACCCTGCAGTTTCACATCCCGCCGCCACATTCACCGCCGTGCGCGAAAACGAACCTGCAAATTACCGTTTATTTACTTCCACTGCCTAATCCTTATTCAAAAGAAACAGTGGAGGAAAGAATTTCGATCACGAACCCATCTCGATCAAAGACAGATAGCTTACCAGTTGCAACGTAGCATGATGTGAAAGACCCTATAATGTTCATGAATCCGATGGACACCATTTCTTTGTTTCCATCAATGTGGTATCCTCTCATGGAAGCAAAAGATCGGCCGACTGAAACCGATTCCTGCGATCATTAAGATTAAAAGTGGCACGATTTTGAGTGGAAAATGTAGTGATAGGAACTTGAAACGAGGAATGAAGGGAGCTCTTACAGTGAGTGCAATAACAGAAGCAACCAGTCCGATTTTGGCGACTTCTCCAATATAGGGGCTGTTCAGCTCTAAAAGATGAACGGAACTTGGATTCAGCCCTCCTTTTACGTGTTTCACAATATTAACTCCATGTTTATCAGCTCGGGTGAGAAAAACAATGAGGGTTGATAGCACAACCGATGCGAGAGGGGAGATTGCTGGCAGCCAAAATAGTTTTCTGTTCCTTTTACCCTGCTCATATATATTTATTAGCCCCATCATTAGACTGATTCGAACAGAGGAGACAAGTTACCAAAACTAAAATATGCAGCCTATAAGTCATTTTGCGAAGAAATAGGTTGTGGGCTTATCAGTACTTCTACCACTCACCAGAAATCTGGATATGAGCATCAAAATGAGGAACGAGCATCCCAGCACAACATTGAGGTAATTCCACTGCAGCTGAAGAGAAACAAGGCATTAGAATACAGCGGCAAATTAGTTTGGTTTCTTCCTAAGATTTTTAAGGATTTATATCTTTGGATTAGAATATTATACTGATGGCATGGGCATTTGCCCCCATGCACACACAAGACTTCAACTGCATTAAGATGGCATTCAATAATCTTTTCCTTTGTTGCTATTTCAATGAAACTCGCGAAAAGAATACAATCACTAGGGTAGATGGTTTATGATAAGAATGTTTGACGAAGTTTTAAAAAAAAAAAATCTGTTGATTAATTTTGATATTTTGGCAAAAGATCTCACGTGATTTGCATGGCTTCATTGGCTGGAGTTTAACGTTTTGTTGTACAGTTGAGGAACTTCCTTTATTAAATATGGATTAAAAAAAGACCACTGAGTTGAAAATCTGATTAAACTTTACGAATAAGTGTCTTGTTTAAAAAATTTTCGCCAAACCAATAATTGTGCTAGTTTAATTGTACAATTTTATTCAAAATTTCAGACGCTCATAATTAAACTAAGTTCCTCCGGTTCTTAATATATAAGCTAATTGTTAAGTTGATCTTGATCTTAAATGTAAAACCTATTTCTCATATTTATCAATTTTTTTTAAATTATCCCTATCAATCCTCTCTCAACTATAATCAAGTCGGGGAGGGAGGAAGAATATCAAAGATGATTATGATGTTTTAAAAAAAACATGTCATACTTCTTATAATTAACTAACTTTTCTATCTTTTTTAATCTAATCAAATTAATTAAATAGGTCTTATATTAAAGATCGAATGAATACTAAAACTCAATGCAGGATTTAGAAAGAGATTTCAAAGGGTCAAACTTGGTTTATCCTAAGAGTTATAGCTTTTGCATGAGGGAAAAAAAAATAGTAGCGGAACCATCATCGTCATTATCTGATGTGGCCTAAAACATGTTTAAATCATTGTACAAGGAAAATGAAAAGATATATATACGTACAGGATGATCAAGAGATTCGCGAACAGACATGGTGACAGAGACGACGTCGGTTTTGTTGGTAAAGCGTTGGAACCCAAAAAGGCCCTTCAGCTGTTGAAGTCCAATAACAATGGCCGCTCCCGCTGTGAATCCTACTATAGCAGCATGCGACAGAAATTCCAGCAAGAACCCCAACCTATATATATATATATACATATATATATAAGCACGTATACATTTAAGCAATGTATTTACTTGTGTCTGAATCATGAGGTATATATCTCTTAAAAAATCCCACCTCAAGAGTCCGAAGGCAGCCTGGAATATGCCGGCAAATAAAGTGGCAGTCAGAACCAGCTTTGTGTAACCCAAAGGATCAGTGGAAGGGTCTATTAGTTTCTGAATCATTGACGACAACAACAATGAAACCACGGCCACCGGTCCAATTGCCACCTCCCTTGAACTTCCCATCATTGCATAGATAAGAGGCGGCACCGCACTGGTATCTAGTTGGTAATTTTATCCACCACATAGCATAAGCTTATCTCAATTACTTCTTCTAACAATTCTAGTTTCTTTCTTTTAAGGAAATCAACTTACAGAGGCCATATTCAGGATCCAGCCTCGCTAAAGTTGCATACCCAATGCCCTGCATTGAACAGACAATAAAAAGAAATGAGGTAATTATAATTTTTTGAGTTTAGTTACGTAAGGACAGGCTCCGGAGTACCTGCGGAATGCAGAGACTTGCAATAGTGAGACCTGCGAGTAAATCATTCCTGAAGCTTATGGCTGAATAGTTTCGACCCCAGCCAAGAACAGGAAACATGGCTTGCAGGAATGAAACCATAATTTTGGGTCCGGATTGGCTTCTGGGACCAGACGCCTTTCCTTGATACCGTGAAATGGTGTTGCTCACTGAGCCTGCAAGTTCATGCCACAGACTGGGAGGCTCAGGAGCATTGAGCACCCACTGAGACCATTCATTAGGTTCCTCAGCTTTCTTCTCAATGTCCACCACAACGACGTCCTCTATTTGGGCCGAAGAACCCATATTTGATTGAAGTGTTTGGGAGAACTTCGTCGCCTGCACGAAGGCCAAATTGCTCTATTCTACTCTAACATGGAAGTCGCTGTAATGAAGAGTCACTCAGAGGCTCATAGCTGCGATTCAATGGCACAAAGTGAGAACCAACAGGTACCATTTTATACATGCGGAAAAGCGATTGTTCCCAAGGTGAGTAGTTAGGCACAAGAAAAATCAGTAGATAAAAGGGGTGTTGGCATGCGGGCGAAAAGCTGGAAGGCACTTTCTTCCGAAACATGTCCACTAACTCGGTACACCAATTTGGCGACTAAAATAGATTCATCACAGAGGCCACTGTTCTGATCTTTTCTTGGGGCTATTGCTCCTTTACATTTGTTATTTAAACTGCTTCTCAAGATACCAACCAGCACGTAACGATCTATTTTTTATATCAAAATCTGTGGATTAATATTGTATATGCTAAATATGCCCTCTGGTTGTTCAAGTTGAAAGCTCCGCTAGAGACGGGGCAAGGTTATATGATTGAGAGGAGAGTCCAATGGAACTCGGGAAAAATGGCAACTTCAAGATTGCGTGCAAGATCATTGTACTGAATTGGAATCATCATAGCATTATCCTTTTCGTAGTACATAATTATGAGTCTTTCAAGTTCTCGGTAGTGCGTTTGTAAATAGCAATTTGCCCTTCGTGGACCTTTTCTCCTTCTGATGCTCAAGTGTCAAGGCCGGCATGATAATCGTATCGAGCGCATATTTATTATGCGGCCCTTTGTATTTTTGCAGAAATCTATACCAATAAAGTAGGATAGGATGCTTGTCTTTTTGCTTTCCTTGTAAAATTTGCCTAGTGGGGAAAGGGATACCTCCGTTTCCCTTTTCACTGAAAAAAGACAAAAAGAGTAGGCATAAATCATATAGATTATGACACAACATGTATATCAAGCTGTCTTGTAAACTATATTTTAAACGAAAATTCTGAAGTTCTATAAAATGGTACTCTCAAGTTAAAACTTCGATATTTAAATTGGTGAGATATGAAATTTGATAACCATCATAATTAGTGAAAGGCGATAATTTGCAATTTGCAATTTTGACAAAATCATGTGAAGTCAGTATAACTCTAGACCACAACACAACATTGGTTTTCTTAAAGACCTCAACTAGTTTTTAGGTCAAAAATGATTTTCTTTAATTAAAGCCCTCACCAGGCCCGGCAAGGGACTTTTTATCATGCTTTCTTATCTTTTCCCTCATCTTTCTTTTCTAACCCTCATATCATTATTTTAACAGTTGAGATTGTAGTCTTTTCAAATTATTATTAAAATATTAAATTATAAAAATAAATAAATGCTAAAATAAAATTTAATAAAATTTAATTTCAATAATTTATAAATGCAGTAAAAAGATTTTTTAAAAAATAAAATTTGAACTGTTAAATTATGTAAAACCAATCACTATAAGAAGAAGAATAAAGAGGATGGGAAGAGAAGAGATATCTCTCCCAGCCAGGCCTCCCAGTCAGAAACTGATGAACTGAATATTCATAAAAGACCGCCCCAATCCCAAATGATAACTGGAGCAGAAGATTATCTAACCAAATTATGGAAAAGTGAGAACACAAGGCTCCTAACCAGGAAGACGAGAGTAAACCATGATAAAGAGTGACCCCTTTAATCAAATCAAAAAGTCAAAGACTCAACGTCATCGGCCAAAAGATCTGCTGCAAACAAGAAGTGCTCTAACTAGCAGCAATAATAACAGAGCCCGCACATTCCTGCTCTCCATATCCATATGGGACCACCCTCAATTCTTGATCTATTTAGATGAACCACTACATTTCTTGCGAGGCATGCATTTTGCTTTTACCCCTCTCTTCTTCTCTTCCTCTTCTTCCTCTACCCTGTCATCGCTCCTGCACCGTAATCACCATTCTCAAATGTCATACTCTGAAAGAAAAATGAGAAATCAACATAGTATATAAAATATTGGGAATCCCACACCACCTTTCTTCGTTATAGGAATTGGACTTCTTGAGGACCGCATGGGTCTTGGACGCATCCCAGTGGGCCTTCATTGACTCAACGAGGCTGCCACTAAAATACTCTTTCTCCTCTGATTGGGAATTCCAGAACCTTGGATTCTCCGGCATGCATCTCATCATCTCGGTCTCCGACAGTTTCTCTGCACTCTTACGCACAGCCATCTTCTCCACAGTGTCGTTCTTCTTCACCATATTACTCATGCACGGTGCCTTCGCCACTGCTGAGCTTCCGCACGCTATCAATTGCAACAGCACCGAGTTACGACTCGCTGCTGAGCCCGATGTCCCTCCGTCCAATAATCTTCCAGAGTTGTCGTTCGCTTCGTTTTTATCGGGCGGAGTGGCCTTGGAGGTGGAGCTAATTCTCAACGACATGTCGTTCGCGATGACCTTTCTTGTTTCGTGGCGCCCCTCGAGTTCATCGGTGGATACACCTCTAGAGCAGCGAGGACGGGGCTTGGTGGTGGAGCTCGTATTGCTCGTTTTCTCGCCATCTTCGTACACTTCATCTCGCTGCTCTTCGTATTCTTCGGTCTCTCTTCTCGGGCTCGTCCGAAATGTCTTGCGCTTCAAGTTTAGATTAGACCCCTGATACAATACTTGCCTATCGCTCAACTGAGGCTGCTGAAATCTTTCTGCAAGCAGTAGTAACACATAATAGTAGGAGTAGTAAAAGAATGATGTAAACAATCTAGTTATTAATTGAGATATGTTAGGTTGTGTCGTGCGGAATGATGATCATGATAAGGAAGCCTCAAGAGGAGACTGACCAGAACAGCCTCGGAGGAGTTTAGATCCTTTGAGAACGTACTCGGCTGCATCAGTCGGATGTATAATATCGTTTACTCCCAAGTCGTACCACACGTAACCGCCCTTGTAGCTCCTTAAACAAACAAATTGAATTATCATACCCGGCAACATGTGTCCAAGTATAGCCAAGAGATCCGGGAAGAGCAAGAGTAATACCTCTTACAAGACCAGGAATATAGAGAAGGCATGCCACTTCCCCTGAGAGCTATGAGCCGATCCAACACATCTTTTGTCATAATACATATTGTAGTGTCAATAAATTGAACATGATCATCAAGACCTGTCAATATGTGGACCGAAGCATAAAATATAGATGCGCGTGACTTACGCCTCAAACGGAGAGGCTCGCCGGGAGCGAGGGTGACTTCCATGGAATGGGGATGCTCCAAAAGTCCATTACGTGAGAGGTAGTAAACAACTTGCACCTGTTTGAGGGGTTTGACCTGTTGGTGGTGCATGCCGCAGATTTTGGCACGCTCTGGGCTGGAGCGCCTACTTCTTCTCGAACCACCGTCCATTCCCCAACACCAGTTGTTCTTCCCCTGCCTCACTCTGTCCTCGGAGGGGATCCTGACTTCCTCTTTAAAGAAACAGAATGAAAAGGGGAGGGAAGAGAGATTGACTCACGTTCCCGTGAGAGACAATACAGTATTTGAAAAGAAGAGGAAGCATAAAAACAGGTTGGTGCCTATCATTTGCAAGGAAAGATGCTTATGCTTCATCAGAGACTAGGAAAACACAATGGGGCCTGGGGAAGGTCAGAGATAAAATTCACCTTCGCAGTAGAGAATAGAGAAACATGATATATGTTACTTCCTTTTATCTTTTCTTTTTTGTTGGAGAGGGCACAAGTCACGATCCCATGGATAAATGGTTGGCTCCGATGCCCAACAGAGCCAAGAATGACGGTGGTCATAGAAGACAGTAGGGGCCTAGAGGTGACTTGGTTGACATCGAGTTGGGGTAACAGAGGAATGGGTGAAGTGAAATGAGAAGGTGTTCACAGAGAGTGAGATTTGTTATGGTGGGGCCTGTGCAATCGAGAAGGGTTACTTACGTTGCACATGAAACAATAAAGCGAAAGAGAAGAGAGAGCCATGTGGGATGCAGTCATGCAGAGAGCAGTTACAGAGGCGGAATTGAATGCGGAGTTTAATTTAGTAATGAAGCTGCTCACTTGTCAGACCCCGTCCACTTCGAGTCTTCAACTCCCCTAGCTAGCACCTGCATCCCATCCCCTCTTCCCATTTTAGGATTGCGATTTTCTCGTTCTCATTAATTCCCTCCTTTTACAATTGTATTCTTTGTGACAGAGAAGACATCACGGCCAAGGGAGCACTCGAGTCCTTCTATGCCGTAGATTTTTGCAATATGTACTGATAGGCATGCCCATATTCATAAAGTTCTTTGGATATTAAAGTGCGCTCGATTTCGTCCTCAGATTGTGTGCCTGTTTACTTTAAAACTCCCCTCCATCATGTAGCTAATAATGCTATTTCTATGATATGTAAACCAAGATTAACGAAAAGTGATGAGTAGAATAATTCTGATGATTCTAAATTGGTTTGATTGTTAAATAGTTGATGTAGATGGTGCCACAGTGGCATCCATCCAGGGACGGGGCGTGAGTTAATAACTCACAACCCACAAGGGAACTATTTCTGCCTGGTTTGACATCAGTAGACATACAGAACAGGGATCTCAGTAAAAGTAACCTCTGTCATGGGAACGGAGACATAGTTCAACGATAAATTTATGCTTTATCTGGGGCTAAGTTCCTGGAACATTAACATAAAACATTACAAAAGACTATACCGATTACCATGTGACAAGTGTTTGATCCAAATATATGAAAGTTATTTTAATTATAAAAAATAAGAAAATGGCAGCGTAAGGGAAATTGATCGTGAGAGCGACTTGGATGTGCAAATTTCTTTTTCAATCTCCGAATCAAAATATGACTGTGCTGCATTATATGTTGTCAGTGAACAAGAGAAAAATTCCGGTGACATTGGGACGCCGTCTTCTGAGATGCACAGGCCAGGCTACCAAAAGCCATGGGATATGGACAGCTGACATGGATAATATCAAGATATATACTGCTTACTCATCTTGGTTTGTGTGGGAACTAACTAGTAAAGTTGAGAGAGACGGAGCTGAGTGTCAGTTTGGTGATTCAGAACTGCAGATTTCTGCAGCCATGTTTATCGCCAAATGCGAGTACATTATTAGTTCTAAAGTCCAAACAAATTTACTAGCAATCAAGGGGAGCGAGAAAGCCCCACCAACCTGATACTTTCTTTACCTTTTTCCCCTACTTTAGGCAGTTACTAATAAAAAGGACATGCATGTTTTTTTTTGGGTAACAGGACATGAATTTTTTATTTTCTAAACAGAAAATGATTGAATCCGTTTCAGGCCCAAAAAATGGATTGAATCCGTGGATACAAAGTGGGCCCAGATAAACATAGGGGGCTCGGTTTTGTTCTCAGAAAAACAAAGTTTGGCACCCCATCTCGCCCGAAATCGTACACAAAATTGCCGGCTCCCTGAGCCCACCGAGTTTTGGACCAGCTTTCTGGGCCCAATCTTTGGGGTGGGTTACTTGAGAACCTCGTCTGTTCAACTCTTCTGCTTCTGTTTTATGCGGAATTGTCGGCACCCCACGGCTTTCTTGTTTTTCCTTTGGGGTTGTCTTCGGCTTCTGGAGGATGCCTTTGAGAAAACAAACGCGCGCGCGCGCACAGAGAAAGAAATCCTGTTGACCAAAGTCCAAAGGTAACCACTTTCCTCCGCTTTTCCGGGGTTCAGTAGTTAAATACGTTGCCGCCTTGTGGCCAGGATAGGAATCGGAGAACATGGCATCAATATCAAATTATAAGATTTAATATAATACATTCTATGTACTTTATTGATTAAAAACAATACAACTTATTTTTTAAGTTACATGTAATGCATAAAGTGGATTATCTAGTTTAGTATGTAATATGTAATTGAAATTTATTAAATAAATATGAGATATTTTACTTTTCATGTTACCCAAATACCCCCAAGGTTTGGGAAATTCTTTTTTAGTCTATAGATTACTTAATCCAATGGTTTTCGGAAGTTCGTTATTCAATCCGATACGCTAAGTTTATTCCTTAAATTAACTTATCTGCCACTAATGAAAGCCAGTCAAATTCAGTGCCTATTTGAGATTATGATAGAAATTTTTTATAAACACGTTTCACGTAAGTCGAGATAAAACTCCTTTCACATATCTATCTCGTATTCTGTAAATCACCATTGAAAAGCTACTTATAAACTGTTCCAAATGAGCCGTCAATCTTCATCCTTAGGATGTTTGCTTTGGACAAATTCTTGGGGTCTATCATACTCCTGCTGACACTTTAGTGTGCTATGACAGTCATATTAAGTCTGATCGCAACTCTATTGATGTTCCCGACTATAAAGAGGCTTTGTTCATGTTAATATGTTCGGATCAATTGTCACATACTTTGCCTTTTTTAGAGTTGTTTGGATGTAATCAAAACCATGATTTTAAAAGTGTTTTTACAGTGCACGAAGTAAATATATAGAGGAGTTTGTCTTGTTTTACAGAAAAACGTTTTTGGGTGATTCTAAACATGCTCTTAGTTTAATTCAGGCCTGCACAGAGGCATAAAGAAAATAGAAATAGTTAACTTATTAAGGATGTTAAAATATTATACTCCTCCGCTCCTTAATATAAGATATAATTAATTGATTTGAGTAAATTAAGAATGCTAGTTAAATTAATTAATATAATATATTTTTTTTCTAAAACATCTAATTATCTTTCTTAGTTATCTCCCTCTCTTTTCTATTTGATTACCATTGAAATAATATCAATAGGGTTAATTACAAAAAAATAATAAATATATAAAATATATCTTACATATAAGACTGATATCAACTCTCAAATTAACTCTTATATTAAGGATAAGAGGATCAGTATCTTTTAAATCCACATTTATTAAAAGTGGGAAAGTGTATTAAATAAAAGTTGGGTCAGTTATTGGCTATTGCATTAAAAAGGTATAACAGAAAATATATTAAATGTTCTATATATTAATAAATTATATTTATTTTGAATTAAGTTGAGGTGGGAGAAATAAAACCTATATTATGGATAGGATCCATGTATGTATAAAGTGATTGGCAGTAATATTACAGGAATGAAAGTGTTCTTGAGAGAAATAAATGAATGTACGAACTGAGGAGATTGGAGGGCTCTACTTTGCCGACTTTCCTTCCCCCGACAACTCTTATCCATCCACAGTCGGCTAGGAAGCCAAATCTCTGGTGAGGAGGATATGTCATATACTGTAATTGTCGCGGCATTAAAACATAAACCCCACCAATAATTAATTACTTCCCCGTTCATATTTAATTATTTTTTTGCAAAATGAAAAAAACATAAATTAGGAAAAAATTATATATTATAAAATAATTGGTTTTTTTTTTAAATTTGCCCATCCCTTTAACAGCACGCTATTTTAAATCTCCGCTGGACTACCTCCATTCGATACCTTCCATCTAATCGGATTTTTTTTTTTTTAACCTTCGGTAGCCGGATATTATTGAAAACATGCAATAATTAAGCTTTTAAAATTTGAAATAAGATGTGTATTTAGGGAAAAAATAAAAAATTAAATCAGGACAAGTAAATAAGAGAGGATATGTGATTTTTTTCAATCACTATCTAGTTTCATGATTAAAAACTACTCCCAAGTAATCATGACCAGAACATATAAATCAGGAGAGGATAGAGTAAAGTAAAATCTGCATCTAGTGCTAGAAATAATGATGATTAAAAATTTCCTTTAAACATCGACACAGTGAATTCCCAATATACACATATTCAAACAGCTACTCGTGTATGATTGATGTAGAACATGGAAGGATTGTGAAAAGGGAGAGCACACAGATTAGAGTGGGGGGTTTAGTTCACTGAGTGATGATTGATTTCACACGGCAGCAACCACTCATAAATCAGAAGCAGACCTTTTGAAAGCGGAATATATAAAGCCAATGCTCACTACTTTGTTTCTTTGTGCAACTTGAAAGTTATACCCTCACGGGAATCTGTATTACGAGAAAAAGCTCCAAGCGTAGGTCACACGCCCTCACCGACTGCTTCCTCTTCCCTCCCCTCTTTTTCCCTTTCCACAATCTTTCCTTTCACTTCTTCACTCCCCTTTTTCCCTATTCCTCTTTTTTTTTTTTTTTTCCGCCAAAAGTCATATTCCCAAACTCATGAACTAAATTGTCGATCTACCGTTACTTAATAAAATCGCTGGTTAACCGCCGCTGCATTCTAATTTAAGATGTAGTAGGGTCCAATGAGATGAGCATTTTGGATAAAATAAAAAGTGGAGATGGTCGTCCCAAAAAGCTAAACGGACAGTATCAGAAAAAGTCACTCTGGTGTAGGAAATGGAAATTGGATTTTATTGCGATGGATCATTCGTTGGTT